ATTTCCAAACATGATGTAGCTATCTACATTTCTAAAACAACATATGTCCAGAGCCACTCTGCCAATTCCTTACCATGTTTTATGAAAACACTCCTGGGAGGACTGAAGTAAAGAGATGCCAGTAGTGGGTACCACGCCTGTGACTCACACAGTGCTATCAAACTGCTCACAAACAGAAAGCTCAGCTTGCAAAACCCCTCTAACTGCTTTCATTGGCGAGAATACAGTGAAGCCCTTGGAAATAATTAACATATAATGTAAATCTAATTTTTTTCCTAGTATGCTTTATCTTGTACTGATGCATCAGCAGCAACCCATGCTTCTCCATAAGCAGCTTGATTTGTACTGAAACAGAGCTTCCTGGGCAATGAATTTTGAATTTTGAAAGTTGAAACACTGCTTATTTGAGAAACTGAAGTAAACTGAACCTCTCTGAACTTTATTCTGTTGGTTTTTTTTAAAAAAAAAAAAGAAAAGCAAGCTTTATTTTTTTGTCCTTTCACATTTTGTTTTCTGGATACTGGATTTCTTTAGATGAACATGGAAAGGGTGTTTAATAGTACCATGGAGAAAGGTTTGGGAACTGTGGGCTAAGGGCCTCAGGTCCAAACTCGTGCTGTTTAACCTGTAGTATTCAAACAACTCCTCTGAGATATCCTGTGGTGGTAAAAATGCTGCTTCTCATTTCTGAACTGTTTTTTTATTTTTTTAATGTGGTTTTTGTTTTGGTTTTGTTTTCCTTCTGTGGGCCATAAATTCCAGCTCAGTGAAATGGTGCAGAAACTTCTACCATAGGGAACATCTTTAAAGTTGGATATCTGCTTAGGGAGAGTGGGAGGAAAAGTGGCTGTGCCCATCCATCAACATTCCAAGCTGCTCCAGCAGGGGTGAAGTTGTCCCTATACCATCAAAGCTTTGTCCTCATCTGAATGGAAAAAAAAAACCCCAACCTTGTAGTGGGAAATGCCCTGAAAACAAGATCTGAGGACTGCTTTGTTCCACCTCAGTGTGTGATGGTGGCTCCTGTCCTCACTTCAAGCAAGGGGCCTGGGTCTGAGGGAAGCTCCAACTGCACCAAGCTGTCTGGCAGCTGCCTCTGTGGTGGGTGGGATTTGGCCAAGTGTTGCCTGGGAGTGAGTTGGATGTAACAGCTGTTACGTGTTGCCTGATTTATCCTTTGCTGGAAACCCTCTGCAGGGCGTTATGTACTCTTTTGAATAGCTCTGTGGGTGCTGTGTCTCCAAAAGATGTGTGTGACTTTCCTTGGCTGGGGTAAACATGAGTTGAAGCCAGGGAGTGTGCAAAGTGAATTTTGGTCCATTCTGGGGTGAGTAGACATGACTGTAGGTATAACTTACTCCCATGACTGTAGCTTTATACTGTGTACTATTTGTGACTGCCTTTTGTGTGACAGCATGTTTCCAGGCAAAGGAGTCGGCCCTGGGAATATTGCAGTAGTTGGAGTTGACCTTGTGCACAGAAATGCACAACTACACAATGATGTTTTTATAGTAAATCTTTCACTGTATCGGTAAGTACCTAACCAATACCCAGCAACACTTTCTGCTTAGACCAAAGCTTTCGACATTAAAGAGCTATCTGGATGGTCTGAGATTTATTCCAGTAGAGAGAAGAGGGCTGGGAGCAAGGAAAAGGCAGAGCTGTTTCAGTGGAGAAATGCCAGGGCTGCAAAGAGGCTTTTTTGGACCAGGCCAAGTGGAAAAGATGTCCTTGTGTCCAATTCCTGTAGCAGTGGATGGCACCATCTGCAGACAAAGGAGCCAGAGATGTTGCCAATGACTGATTTATTCCTGTTCTGTTGTTTGGCTCCATCACAGAATCACAGACCATTAGGGATTGGAAGGGCCCTCAAAAGCTCATCCAGTCCAATCCCCCTGCCGGAGCAGGAACACCCAGATGAGGTCACACAGGAAGGCGTCCTGGCGGGTTTTGAATGTCTGCAGAGAAGGAGACTCCACAACCTCTCTGGGCAGCCTGGGCCAGTGCTCTGTCACCCTCACTGAGAAGAAGTTTCTTCTCAAATTTAAGTGGAACCTCCTGTGTTCCAGTTTGTGTCCGTTACCCCTTGTCTTATCATTGTTTGTCCATGGACTCATCATTGACAATTTTGGAACTTACCTGGGACTGTTTCATTTTGTGTTATTTTTATCTCTCTGCAATGAAGCTTTTGAATAAATCTGTGTTTTATGATCAAGCCTGGTGCTGAACGCTGACATGGTCAAAGATGATCTTCCTTGCTACCAGCTGTGCTGGTTATGCTCGATGCTGTATGTGTAAAAGCTATCAGCATGCTTAAGTATATGAAAAATAATTATCTTGAGCGCTGTTGCTCACAGTTCAATTTCTTGAACAGTTATGCTGTGA